ATATCTTCAAACTTATATTTCATTCAAAAATAAAGCATCACCGCTTTCTCAAAATCACATAATATCATATTATAACATCAACTGAGATAAAAAATAAAATAAAAGATTAAAATCAAGATATATTTCGCAGCATTGCATGAGTACACTTTTAGTAATATATAAAATAGCTGTATACTTTTGACTTTGAATATTAATATTTATATATAAATTAATTTTATATACATTTTTACACCATATTCGTTACAACTATCAAAATTGTTACTTAAAAGTGGTTTTTTGAATTAAAATATGACGTATAAACAAGAAAGTGTTTACATCTTGATGGTCTGAAATTTTATATAATAATTAAATTATTTTTTATTTGAAAAAATAAAATAAAAAATATAACAAAAAATAAATATAAATATATTTGATATATCTGATTTTAAAGTAGGATATGATATTTTTTGTTCAGGGAAAAACAATTTGTTTTCTTGTTTACAAAAAGGGAAAAATCTAAAAAAACTCAATGAACTTTAGTGTTTAGAATGGTTAAGTCATTAAATAATTTTTTAGAATAAATAAGTCCTTGGACATCCGAAAACCTGTTAAATAAATCCTTGGACTTTTTAAAACCTGTTAGATACATCCTTATGACCTATAAAATTGATTAATGTGATAAAATAAAGGAAAAAACCTGGAAAAAAAACCAAATAACTTTCATATTTTAAACGATTAAGTCTTTAAACATTTTTTGAACCAAAAGATTACTTAAAAATTAATTTGAAAAATCACATACAAAATATATTTTATTTTTAGTTAAAATAAATTTAATCAATAATCATCTTTAAATCTTTTTTTATTTTTTTAGTTTGAAAAATTATTGAGCGAATATATTATTTTTTAATTAAAATAAATCTTATCAATAATTTTTTTAAATGTAAGTAATTTTTCGTAAATGTAAGTAATTTTTTGGTATATTTGTTTATTTTTATAGATCTAAGTATTCTTTTAGTTCAAAAAATATTTAAGGTCTTAATCGTTCAAAATGAAAGTCTATTGGCTTTTTTTTTCCAGATTTTTTTCATTATTTTACCATATTAACCAGTTGTATATGTTATAAAAATGTATCTAACAAGTTTTAGAAAGTCTAATGAGTTATTTAACATATTTTGAACACCCAATGATTTATTTGTTCCAAAAAATTGTCCAATAACTTAATCATTCCAAACACTAAAGTCTATTGGATTTTTTTAGATTTTTTCCCTAAAAAAAAGGTAAAATTTTCAATACAAGTTTAAATGGTTATAAACCTATTTGTATATGAAAATCTATCAATAAACAAAAGTAATTACAATGCTAATCCACAAATTGGTATTATTGCTTACTCACCTCGCCTGGTCAACTCGACCGGGCTAACTCGACTCGGGCCGGGTAGGTGTTATCGCACCTTCATCATACCTACACTAACTTTTCTCATCACCATCATCATCTACAGGAACAGGACTACGAGGATCCTTTGGTTCACAACTCGACTCGGGCTCGGTGCCACGATTCTTGTTGTCAATCTCGATTTCCCCGCATTCAGAGGTCGAGCTAGCATCCATGTCCTTCTCCGGCGAGTCGAGTTGCATGCACTCGGCAACCGAGTCGCACAGTGAGTTGTTTTCGGAGTCATGGCTCCGGTTCGATGGTGTTAAGTCTCCCTTCCTGACTACATTAAACACAATCCCGTTGTGAATCCTCGCCGGCTGCAAAAGATCACCGGCAGCCACCGTGATGCTACTGCTGCTGTTGCTGTTAAGAACTCGGCCATTTGTATCCCTCGAATCGGTTTCAGGATCCGAGCTTCTATCCGGCGGTATCACCCTCAAATTCTGATACACCATAATCGCCTTTTTGGAGTCGGTATCCAAGTTTTGAACGAATTCAACGAATTGATCAGCCGAAGTCGTTCTCATCAAGGGCCCCCCAGATCTTGTCCATGAATTCGCCTCGGCACTCTCGGACTCGCTATCACTTCCATCGTGTACGTTGCGGTGGTGGCGCCAGTTCCGGCCACCGTGGTGAAGGGAAGAAGCCACGTCCGCAAGGTCTTCTTCGAGAGATCCGGTCGAGTTCTCTCGTGCTATACAGTTCCAAGACGGGATTCTTTTTGATGCATTGAATCGGACTGTGCTCGATGCACCGTGAGAGGCCGCAGCTGCTCTTTCCGCACTCCGTTTCAGTCTGCGCATATGATTCAAAATCGCGACACACTCATCGAGAGCAAGTTCGATCCCACAATTCGCTTTTATGGCCGAGAGCTTCTCCCAAGTACATCTCCGACCTTGGTTAGCCGCCTTCTGAAGCTCCAAATGAGACGGATTCTGTATGATTTTCGAGTACTGGTAATAAAAGCAAAAAAACACTCGAGTTAACACATTTGATTTCCTACACATATATACAGGTTTGATAGTACATTTCATCGAATCCACACCTGCGCTAAGGTTGCAGGCATCACAACCGTGACATCGCCCTCCCAATCTTGAGCAAATAGCTTTGCGAGTCCTCCTAGAGGGAAACCCAGTTCCAACACCTGATTGCATCGGTGTTTCACCTCCATCTCCACAAGATGCGCAAGCTGCAGCGAGACAATACTAAATGTAAAAAACCCCGAAACAAACGTATTTGAAAGTGATAAAAAAGACACATAAGAGTTTTCACATACAAATCATTCTACTCTCTGGACTAGAAGACAGGTTTGTGTACATCCCGCCACCACGAGCCCATCTTCATTGAAAATCCAAAAATAACCAAACAAACCCAATATACCGACACTGAGGTAGGATGTAGGCGGATCTTGCATCTAACCTTAGGGGTAGAGAGGCCATTTCCATGAAGACCCTCGGGTTACAAAACAAAATAAAAGGATACAAGCGAGAAAAGTAGCAGATGAGTGTGTGCAGACAAAACAACTAGCGTACAACTAAGACGGGCATACAGTAAAAGCATGAAAAACAAAGACCTGCAGCATAAATAAGTCGTGAAAAGTAGAAAAAACTAAAACAAAGGGGATCTAGTAGGAAATATACCTTTGCGGCAAAGTTGCCACCATAAGCTCGGATGAATTCTTTCAGCCTGAGTAGAGGTGCAATATGCGGATTTGCTTGACTCACGATGAAATGATTCACGTTAAAGAGTTCTTTCAATTGGATCATGGGTAAATCGATCTCCAAACTACCGTCCCTCCACCGCCTGACTGAAGTGTCGCTAGCTTCATCCGGGCCCCAGTGGAACGGTGGGTGATACGGAACAATTTCTCCACCTCTATCCTTTGCCATTAGCTCTTGAGCTTCAAAAAGCCCCGGAAAAGCACAAGAAGCAGTCACTGCGCTCCAAATAACGACATGAGGTGAAGTCAAGTAGTTTAGACATCTTGGAGGTTCGTGTTTTCTTGGAGAGCATACCGTGATCCCAAGAACGCGGCCAGTCATATCATAAGCTTCTTGGAACGTAAGATTATTAGTCAAGTTTCTTAACAAAACCTGCAAATGTCTAATATCATGAAGCGCGCCCTGTGTCATAACCCTCTTGAAAACGTTAAAGATTCCGCCCATTTGATCGAAAAACTGCAACGAGTGCCAAGAATCTTCAAAGAAACTTTGAAGTTCCGGCCAGGATTTGGTGGCTACAACTGCACACATTATCGATCCAACACTAGACCCTGCAATTATCCGTGGCATAAGTTTATGTTCGACCAAAGTTTTCACCACACCCACGTGAAACGCGCCAAGGGAAGCACCACCGCTTAAAAGCAAAGATGTTCTCCCAAACGCATGTCGAGTTTCGTGCATAAAAGCAAGCTTTTCCTCCAAAAGCAGCTCGTCTGAATCAAAATCGCAAACCATCCTCAATTGCATCGACACCTCGTCAATGTATTCTTTTATGAGCTTTGGAACCTGATGTCGACCCTTATGAAGCTCGGGATTGCACATATTACCGAGGTTTCTAATGAGATCAGCCCTCATACAAAATATAATATCTCTAAGCGAACATTCTTGACGCCTGTGCCTGAGTTCTTGAAGTTTATTCCTAACAAGTTCTTCATCATAAAGATCACGTTCATTCAATTTAGGGGTTTCTTTATCCAACATCTTAGCAGCATGAGCCCATTCTTCATAAGTTAACGCTGCCCGCATCATATTTCGCCAGAATTTCCTCCGATAAGCCATTTCAGCCCTCATTTTCACATTCGTGTACCGTTTCAGCAAGAATGCGATTAGGGTCACTAAAACTAGTATCCCTTGCGGGTTTCGTGGATGAAACCATGAGATAATGGGCGTAGCAATATCCGATACATTCGTTCTAATGATATGGAAGTAATACAGCAAAGAATGAAAGATCTGATGCCTAAAATGTGTCATTGATTTGCAGAATAGAACTCTGAAAGCAATAGTTCGGCCAAAAACGGTCGATGGTCCGATCGAAAACCGATCAACCTTGGCTTCGTTACTTATATCCATTTCTTAACTACAATTTTGGTCCTAAGATTGTTCTATTGAGTATCTGAAGTAGAAGTAAGGATTAAATCAAACCCTAATTCAGAATCTTTTCCAATCAAACTTCGTTATAATTGAGAAAATTCAATCAGATCAGTCAGATACAACAGGAAGATTGATCATATTGGACAAAACAAATGAACATGAATAAGGATCGCGAATAGCTGACCTAAAACGATTGCAATTCCCTTATATTCGAGTTCGTGGAAGAGAACAATTCCCCGGATCCTCCAAAGAACGAAGCTGTAACCAAAACGAAATCAAATTATGAGGAAATTAATCCCCGAGAATCGACGAAAGCTGCTTAAAACAAAAGGGATTCGCGGATCAGCGCTCGAAACACCCCGACGGAACTAGAACAGGACAAAACCAAAATTCAAACAACAAATTATGTCGAAGAGTGTGACATAGAATTGAATTGAATGCAACGGTAGTGGCCTTAAAAGTTGAATTGACAACGATGATATGAGATCCGAAAAGTGTATTAGAAGTTGATCGGATAATCAAGATAACGATGTAAATACGATAAGGTGCACATACCTCTCGTCATTCGGTTTAGGGGGTTGATATTGATACCCCCTGGCATACTTTTCTACCCCCCTGCACCTTGTCCCCCACCTCACATTTTTTTTCATACTCACATGATTTGCACACTCACACACTCACACGATTTTAATATAAAAAATTTAAATTTACACTTTATACCCTTATAATTAGTTAATTAATTTACTTTATACCCTTTCCTTTTAAAATTTTCATTTTATACCATGATCAAATTAACATACATAAACGTATATCAATTAA